CATGATGCCTTTTGTCCGTCCCGTCTGAGCGAATGGGTTTTTAGGGACATGGCGGGTAAGCGGCGGTGGGTCAGTGAGTGCAAAGGGGCTGGGACAGACAGACAAAGAGAGGGAGAGAGAGGCGGGTGGTGGGCCTGAACCACCTGTATGTGTTGCAACAACACCAGCCGCCCCTGGCTAATGCAGGTGTTTGGTGAACAGTGTTTTTCTAACCCAATTCTGTGGCAAGTGTGGGAGTGTATCCACATTTGAGCGAGGTCAGCTCGGGTCGGCCTGGCCTCTGTCCTGAAAAGCAGTGTTTTGATCAACGTCCACGTCTGGACTGCAGAGAAGAAAAAAAAACACGGACCTCAGACGTTCTCTCAGCCTCTCTCTGCCTGCCCCGCTCCCACCCACGTTCGCTGTCAGCTTCGTTTTCATTGTCCCAACAATAATTAAGAGCTGTTTAGCTAAAGCTTATTTGCTGTGTAAATATATAAAGATTCAAACGTTTAAAAAAAAAAGCGGATGACAGATAAGAGCATAACTCCACTGCTTGTCTCAAACAGATTATAACCTCTTCTCAGACGCTGCAGCCTACAGTGAGCTAAAAGCTTTATTTTTTCTTTATAATTCACCTTAAAATGATCGTTTGAAGTATGAAAACAAAGAGTCATTTTGGGACATGTAAACCAAACACCAAATAGCATTGATTTTTTTTTTGTTTATTTTAAAGAAATGCACCAATTTCCCATCTTCCGTTTATAAACCATTGACATTAGGTGCAGATGTAACATGCAGGGTGTGTTAGAGAAGAGTCATTGTATCAACACTTTAACACTAGGATGATCATTTTGCTTAAAGATTAAGATCAATTATTTTTTCCATTAATTGATTAATAATTGAATAGCAAAAGGCTCCTTAAACATTTTTTTTAAGAGAGTAAACTAAAACTTTTCTAATTTAGGAGATAGAGCATATTGAGGGATACTTTTTTTCTCTCTTAGTCTTTCAAGCTGGGCACCGTTTCACTCACAACACCTGTCCCATCAATGACGAGTCCAAATCAGAAATACTTTAATGAACCCAGGGCGAAATTACTTTTGTTACATTACTCTATATGTAATAGAGTGACTATAAGTTTGATATAACACAATTTCATACAACATATATAATTGGGAGGTCCCCGTTCCATCTCGCCATCCATTTGGGGGTCCTTGACCTGGAAAACATTGAAGACCCCTGTTGTAGAGTATATACACTCCAGTTAACTATTAATAATTTCTAAATTAGCTTCTGATTATTCTAATTATCGACTAATCCGATTGTTTCAGCGCTTTTTGTCACAATGACAATGATTAGAGTTACCAGCATATGTTAGCTTTGCTAGCATTTATACGTTTTCAAAGAATTCATACCCTTAACTTAGGTCTGCACAATAAATAAATATCAATATTTATGGAATTGTAATTTTACTTAATAACAGTGGTGTCTGATTTGCTGAAATCTGATACAGACTGCAGTCTTGTTACTTTTTTTAAACAATCATTTCTAAAATGTTCGATTTTAGGAGTTTAACAAACTTTGTAAGGTTCAGAAGTTTGTACTGGATTGTTGGTCATTTTACTGAGGCTTTTATATCGTTTATGTCGATATCTGAATTTGATCATTTTGACCAAAATGAAGAAATATATAGTGATATGAGTTTTGGCCTTATTATCCTAAATGTAAGATTCCCAGGAGAATGTTTCCAAATATTCAATGTTCCAAGGTGAAAAGGTAGAATGTTTGGCCTTCCTGTTATCTGCTGAAAGTCTGGCTCTCCCTTCCTCTTTCACAATACTGATTAATGGATTTGAAAGCATTTAAATCAGACTTCATTAAATTACGGCGTTATATGGGATTGATTAAACAAAGCGTAGAGATATGAAATGTCTTTATTGTCTCCATTTGTGTTTATGCCATAAACAACTAGATAATAAACAAAGGGAAAAAAGTACATAAATGACTGAATAATTTAAAAAAGTTTAAAATTTAGCTGACTTGGTGGAAAAGTGTTAAAACAGGGTTTTAATTCAGACTCTTTATTCTAAGTGGGAGTTGGAAGAAAATACGTTACTGTTAGCTCTTCTTATAGTCCCTATTTTAACATGATAATTCAATTCTATTGATATATTTTAATATTAGCATGAGAAACTCAAACGTTCAACTTAAGTGACTAGATTTAAATATATTTTATAAACAACTAGCAATTAGTCATTAAGTCCTTTAACAAATCACATTAAAAAAAGAGAATTTTGAAATGCCATCTAGAAAAACACAGCAAATGCCTTAATGCCTGCTGTTCAGGAGTAGAACCAGTTAGTTTAGCACACAAACTCCAGACCACCGAGGTCAGTTAAGAAGACATCGGCTGATGCATCGATCAAATATTTTTTATGGCCAACGTTAAAGCGTTTGCCTATCTCTTCATTTGCTATCCATCTCTGTTTGATTATTTATTTAATTTACAATTGTTTTCCTGTTTAGATCTGAAACTCGTTCAACATTTATCATTACGACGTTTTTTTAGCCTGAAAATGGAGAAAGATAATAATCTTCACAAATCAGCTGGACGTATCTATGATCTGTCGATCTCTATTGTCAAGGCTAAAGCCAGGTGATATAAAAAATGTTATTACGGTATCCCTTCAACAAGCGCTTTGAGTAATGATCACTGTCCTTACTCAGATTAAGTCTAGGTTCTAAGATGAGATCTGTTTCCAAAAGAACTAAAGTAAAGAACAAATGAAGTCACCAGTAAATTAATATTAGCAGAGATTTATACTTAGAAGCTATTCTAAACTGAACGAGGAAGTATTTAGGGTTTAAAAGCTTAAACCTTTGTGTTTTGGCAGAGTCCGAGGTCAGTATTTGGCAGGACTCATCTTTTTGCTATTACCTCCTCTGGGTGTTTGCCTACTACTTTCCAGTTCGTGATGCTTTCCAGTACCTTTCGGACTTCGGTTAAACCCTCGTTGTTTATAGTGTGTGCCCCCCACTCCTCCTCCTCCTCCTCTCTGCCATGGCTCTCCTGTCCTGCCATTCCATGCCCCCCTCCATCATGGCTGACAAACAGAGGAGCAGCATTCCAGTAGTGCCCCCCTGTCAAAGCTTCTGCATTGTGTCGGTGTGCTCACATTGTTGTATCAGACAAAGCGCTGCTCTCAGGGGAATAACGCAGCTGGACGGCAGCCATGGAGCAGGTCATCCAGGGCCTCCAGGCCGACCTGACAGCCAGGGCCCGGCCTTGGTAGCAGTGCAGGAAACAAACTTGAACCTCTTGGCCTGTGTGTGTCTACTGGCAGCAAACAGAAGCCAAAGTCTGCCACCTACACTTGCCTTCATTCCTGTGTTTCTCTGCTAACCTCGCAGTCACTGAACTCTCTTAATTTCTTCTCTTAAGTAAAAAATTTTCTAAAATTATATTTTAATGTAAGCAAAAAATGTTTTTTGTGTGGTTGGATTAAATTAGCACCTGCTTCTTATTTTAACCCAATTAATTATCAATATATTTATTTTGTTAATCTGCCAAAATAGTGAGACCAAGTTTTTATTCTTTAGGATTTTAGGAAAGTTTTATTCATAAAAATCCACTAATCCACTAATAGAAATAACATTACATCACAATGTTTTTGTTTTTTTTCCAATTTAAATGCTTACGTTTTTAGTTCTCATTCCCAGATGAACTTGAACTTGTTCCCCAACAAACACAGTAACTGGATTATACTAGATTTATGGTGTTTATAATTTTTTGCTTAAACTGGAATATATATTACATTGAGAATGAGTATATACTTTTGAGTTAGGAGAAAGATGACATGTACGGCTGTAAGCCTTCTACTCCAAACGAAGTTTCTGCTGTCCTGTTGTTCTCTTCCACAACATCTTCTCCCCTCTTTCCTCCTCTAAATAAAAAATGTATGATGGAGGAGAATCATCCACGACCTCCGACACTAAACTCTCCTCCTCTTGCATGTTTCCGCTGTCCATAGCGTTCCTTGACAGTGTCGTTTCTAAGTCACCAATTTAGTGCTACTTGGTCCCAATGGAATTTTCCCATTGGGAACCTACTAGCACTAAGTTGCTAACTGGTTAGCAAAATGCTTCTGACAAACCGGCCACAATCAAATTTGCTTGCGAACTTTCCGCAACATAAATCCCGCCCCTTGATAAACGACCAATCGCATTCACTTTATTCACTCGTGTAACGGTTGGAACAGCTGCTTCCCTACGAATTTAATTCATAAGCATCAGTCTTCTGATGAGCTTTTCCACTGTTGATACCCCTGCTACCTTTTAGTTAAATTTGATTATCTAAAAGAATGTACATGTAATTTAGGTTCAGGATGAATATTAACACTTGAAGTTATTTTACATTTTACAGGTACTTTTGAATTTATTTAAGCTGAATTTAGTTTTTTTTAATAACCTTCTGTCTTGTCAATGTTGACATTTCTCCTACATTATACAGTATACATTTTAGGATGATAAAGATGTTTTTATAGTTTTATTTATATAAAAAAATTGTGATTTTTATTTCGTTTGCTTTTGTTCCAAAAATAAATAGTCCAAAAATAAAACAGTCGATGACCCAACCCCCAAAAAAAAAACCTTTTACTGCGTTAAAAAGAAGAAAACTATCAATACAATACTAAAGGGATATTCTTAAGATTAGTAATGACAAACATAGTAGAAAGTGAATTGTTTAGATATTAAATGTAATATGTAATGACATAAATAAATAAAACTATTTATTTGGGGAAAAAAATAAATTTTCTTCCATAGTTCCACAGCTCCATGCCACACTTTTCAGATTTGTATTTGTAGAACAAAGGAAAGGATTTCAACCTTTTCCCACTATTTAAAAATGACACGCTGCTGTATGTTGGTCTGCCTCATAAAATGTAAATTAACAATTCAAGATGCTGGTTTAATGGTTTTATCATGACTTTTTCTCTTTTTTGTTTCTGTTTTCACAGACTGAGCGACAGAGGTCCACCATGTGCCTCCTCCTCCTCCTCCTGCTCCTCATCATCTCTTATATTGGGGGACACTTGACTCTGCCTTTGACCTTTGCCACCCCCAACCCCCCCTCCAACAGTGACCTTCGACCTTCAGTCACACTAAGAAGCTGCTTTCATCTGGTCGCAGACGACATGACAAACCTAAAAAAAATGCTTGCGGGTTTTATTATTTTTTTCATTGTTAAATGTTTTTGTGTTTTATATGCACATCCTGTCCTGTTAATCATCCTCTTCAACAATAGATGCTGCCAGCGTTTGCTGCCCCGCCCCCTTTAGTTCAACACTATTATTCACCAGGCAGTGGTCAGTGAACTTTAACTGAGGTGTGTAAACACAAGCACAGGTAGTTTGTTTTTTTTTTCTCTCCTTATGCGGTATTATTTAAAAAAAGGGAAATTTTGAGCTAAAAGCAAAGGCATTATGGTACAAACTTGGAAGCTTGAAATATCCTTCTGTCGTTCACCATTTAAATTTGTTTTACCCTATGCATAATCCATCATCCAGATTATTTAAATTAGTTTTTTTTTGTAAGAACACCTTTTATAGATTTTTATTTTATTTTTATTTTTTTTAACTCTTGTTCGGTACAAAACTTATTTCTGGGTCCATTTTAGCTTCTCCCTCAGAGTGCGCGCTCGTTTCCCAGGTACAACATGGCTCCTTAAAACCTGCTGCAATACTGCGCCAGTATCTGTTTGTCCCTATAGTGGGAAAACAAACATTACAGTATTTATTTTGTAAGCTATACGTTATTTATTTGTTTAAACAGGTACAGACGGTCCGCTACATTTCACACTTCCACACTAAAGGTACTCAGCAGAGCGGGAAAATCAAAGCCACTAGCTAGTTTTTTGAAACTTTTGTCTTTTGTAGTGGAAGGTTAAGATCACCTGGAAAAATTAGCTAAAATATGTTTCATACTATATAAAAAAAATGTAATTCTACAGAAAATGAATAGCAAAAGTCAAACTAGGTAACATAAACAACACTTTGATCAGTTAGACTGCAATATTAGCCTCCTGGATGCTAAAGCTAACAGCTAGCTTGGGCGGAGTCGACGTCAAAAACCAGCTGTCTTACATTCTCTCTCTTTTTTTTTTTTTTTTTTTTTTGAACACTCTTTTGGAAATCCTCTTAAACATTCATTACGATTCAGTTTCATTAATGTTTAAATAGATGCTTCAAATTATTTGTAGTAACATGAAGTTGGAGGCTCTGCACCACCAAAAACCTTCCTGAGTGAAACCCCGAATCAATGACACAGGAGAAAAGGAAATACTACAAATTATATTTAGGTGATTGCCTCCTAGCTGCTATTTAGTAATTTTGAGATTGGAGTCGATTTACGTTGTGAGAAGTCGCTTTGGCTACTGCAGCAGTTAAACTGCTAACTGGTTATAATTTTTCAACAAGCAGTTGCTTCATAAATCATAAGGATCCCTTTAAAAGATGGCAACATTTTCAGGCTTTTATCGACCAGATAAATGGTATTTAATTATCCATCGATAGATATCACATTATGATGACATCACTGACTATTTTATATGTTTAAGGACAAGATTTTGGTTTCTCAATTTGCCTTTAAAGGGGAAATAAGATGGCCATCTATCAGAAGATCATAAAGGAATGTGAAATTAAGATTATCCTTAAAACAAAAATCTATTCTTTGCTTTTTATTTTTGCTTCCTACTACGTTGACCATTTTGAACTATGTTGAGCCTTTCCAGAAACATCCCTTCCCATCAAAGAGATGTTGTTTTTACTTCAAAGATCGATTTAAAGATCCAGATCTGCCCACAGTATAAATAATGTCTCCATTAAGCCTGATATTTTGCAAAGATTAGATTTTCTGCCATATTTCCAACTCCTGTTAACACCTGAATCTTTTTGGGGATGAAACCTGATTTTTTTTTTTCTCAAAAAGCCTTTCAGGATTACTTTATGACATAATTATAAATAAGATTTTCCCTCTACAGATGCCCACTCGGGCTTTCTGTGCTATAACCACCACAGCTGAGTGGTTTATAGGTGTCTGACTTTTTCAGTTAAACAAAAACTAAACAAAAGGTGAACTGATGTTATAGAGAACTGGAGCTTCAGTTATTTTTAGCATCGCTTTGCTTTCAAATTGATTTAGAAGTGGAAATCAAGAGTGATTTAGATGGGCTCTCACTTAAAACCTTTAACATAGAGGATCAGAGTGAAAACATCAGAAATGATTCATTCTTAAATATTGACCTAAAATGAAAATTGATTTTCTTTAATATAGTTGATGTCTATATATACTGAGATTAAAAAGCTTTTCTGGTGGTTACGCGTTATTTCCCCGCTCTGCTGCTTGTTGGTTTATCATTTTATTAGATCTTTGGTTCAGTTTTACCTCATGGTCCTCAGAACAGTTCATTTAGAAGTCTGGCCAACGGCTGGCGCTTGCAGCTGGATGCACAGGCGTAAGACGCGGCGGAGTGACGAGAGCCACTCGTCCTCACGGGCTCTTGATTTCGGTCGGTCAGGATTTTTCACACGTCGATGTTCGTCAGAGGCCGGGCATGACGTCAAAGAGAGGGTTCCAGTAACCCGAGCTGCACGCCCAGGTGCAACAGGCGGCTTGCCGCCTCCCTCTTAAATCAGTGTTCAGCATTTCTGATCCAGCTTTTTTTTCTTTTATATGCGCTTAAGTTCCTTTATTTTATATTTAACTATTTTTATTTTCCCATTTTTAATTTTTTTTTATTATTATTTTTGCACAGCCAGAGGATGACTTTGAACTCATGGCTTCATCAGAGCTGAGCTGGGAGGGATGACTGTTAGGAAGGCTGGTGTGTTCTTCATCAAACGAGTGGCAACATCTCCCCCATCAATATATCTCCTGTTTTTAAGTTCCAGTGTTAACAAAACCATGTGGGAAACAGCTTTTAAGAGGTGAATTTGTCATGTAAGGGGGGGGTTAACTGACTGTTTCATTGTATGTGGAGGTAAAGGGGGTGAATAACCTCCAAAAAGTGCTGTTGAATAGTTTTAAGCCTGTGCCGTGTCTTACGTGTATATTTTCAAACATTTATTTTTTTTTTTTCATTCGCCCCTTGATTTACCTCCTTTTGATTGAACAAAGATTTAATCCCAAGAGCGCATATAGGCCGTAGCGGCCAGATATAAATGGGTTATTGTTTTTCTTTTTTGTTTTTTTTTTTTATGTTTGCAGACAAATTTCTTCTGTACTTATGCTACAGCGATGTTTTGCGTTTGGGTTTTGATGCTTGTGGCAGGAGAAAAAAAAATGGTAGTGTTTAGAGTTTTGTTGGGATTTTTGGACAGATCCCTGTTAATTTATTCAGAAATGTCCATGTTGGAATGCCTTCTTGTTGGACTTCTCCCCAACCCCATTGCAGTTTCACTCATATCTCTCAATTTACAGAAAAGGTTAGTTTATTTTTTGGGCAACAATGCAACCTCAAATGTCCTCTATGTTTTTAAATGGGTACGAAAATGAGGAGACTTGATTCCCTTACAGAAGTGAAATAAGGTGATGCATTATTATTATTATTATTGTTGTTATTATGCAAACTTTAGTTTGATTCTTCTCAATTTTTTTGATTTCTTTCCTACTCTAGTTTACAGACAGTAAAAAAAACACTTATTTTTTTCGGAAAACAGAACAATAAAGTTGTTTTTTTCTCTTTAATTACTTAGGCATTTTGCAGTTATTTGTATAAAAAAACAACCTGCCTAATGTTTATTTTTTGTAACTATAATCCAGTTTATTTGCTGCTTTGTAGTACAGATACGAGTCGGAGGCAAACACGAGGATCAGAAGATGATCGTTGCCCCGTCTGTTTTTGTTTTGTTTTTCCCACCTGCCCTTTGAATGCTTTTGATTCTTGCAGTGGGCTTCGGTGGAAGCCGGGGAGAAGAAGTGACTCCCGCCCTGCCCTGCTGCTTGTGTTTCTATTTTTCCGAGTTGAATGCTGTTGTTAATTAGCTTTACAGGAAAGAGAGAGGAGGAAGTGTGTTTCCTTTGTACATTGAGGAAAATAAATATTGAAAACCCTGCTATTTTGCAAGTTCTGTCACTTAGAAACCATGGAGGGGTCTGAAATTGTCACCGTAGGTGCATGTCCACTGTTAGAGACATAATCTAAAAAAAAATATCCAGAAATCAAAATGTAAGATTTTTTAAAACTTATTTGTTTGATACAGCTGCAAATAAGAATTTGAACACTAGAGAAAATAATGTTAATATTTGATACAGTAGCCTTTGTTTGCAATCAAAGAGGTCAAAAGTTTCAATTTCAATTCAGTTTACACAGCACCAAATCACAACACGTCATCTCAAGGCACTTTATAGAGAAAATTCAACCAGATCATACAGTCAGATTGGTTCCAAGTTTTCTACCTAAAGAAAATCAACTGATTCAATCGACTCATTGACTCAAAGGCAATCCCTCAGTTTTCCTGTAGTTTTTTCAGGTTTGTACACACTGTATGAGGGATTTTGGCCCACTCCTCCAGACAGCGACAGAGCTGTCACTGAGAAATAAAAAAGGAGTTTGAGCTCCCTCCAAAAATTCTCTATTGGGTTTATAGACTGGCTAGGCCATGCCAGAACCTTGATATGCTTCTTTCAGAGCCACTGCTTGGTTATTCTGGCTGTGTACTTCTGGTCATTGACATGTTGGAAAACCCAGTCTCCACCCATCTTCAATGCTCTAACTTAGCAATATTATCTAACTTAGGCAGTACATGGTCATCATCTCCTTAATACAGTGCAGTCTCCCTGTCACGTGAAGATAAACACCCCCACATAATGCTACCACCCCCATGCCTCACAATAGGGATGGTGTTCTTGGGATGCTACTCATCGTTCTTCTTCAAACGATCAGTGGAATTATGACCAAAAAGTTCTATTTTGGTCTCATCAGACCACATGACTTTCTCCCATGACTCTTCTGGATCATCCAGATGATCATTAGCAAACTAAAGACGGGCCTGTGCTGCTTTGAGCAGAGGAACTATCCGTGCCATGCATGATTTGAAACCATGACGTCTTAGTGTATTACCAACAGTATCCATGGAAACCATGGTCTCGGGTCATTGACCAGCGCCCCCTGTGTATTTCTGGGCTGATTTCTCACCTTTCTTAGGATCATTGAGACCCTCAAGGTCAATCTCCCTCAGACTGGGGCAGTCATCCATTTTCTAATGATTGCTCCAACAGTGAACCTTTTTTTCTAGTGTCTTTGGACAGCTCTTTGGTCTTGACCATGTTGGTAGTTGGATTCTTACTGATTGTATGGGGTGGACAGGTGTCTTTATGCAGCTAACAAACTCAAACAGGTGCATTTAATTTAGGATAATAAATGGAGTGGAGGTGGACATCTTGAAGGCAGACTAACAGGTCTTTTAGGTTAGAATTCTAGCTGATAGACGGGTGTTCAAATTCTTATTTGCAGCTGTTTCATACAAATTAATAGTTAAAAAAATAATACATTGTGATTTCTGGATTTTTTAGTTTTTAGATTATGTCTTTCACAGTGAACATGCACCTATAATGACAGTTTTAGACCCCTCCATGCTTTCTAAGCAGGAGAACTTGTAAAATAGCAGGTTGTTTAAATAATTTTCCTCCCTGTATATGTATTACTTTTCAGCGACGTACGTCCCATGTAAGAGGAGGGAAAAATAGGAATATGTGTTGGAAATGGAAATCCTCCTTGTGTAAATAAAAAAAGTTGTTGCTTTTTTTTTTCCAAATGTTTTGCTCTGCGCCTCAGCAGGTGCACTATCTCATTTTTTTTTCTTTTTTTGTTTTCATTTTCCTCTTTCTTTCTCCCTGTTGTTTCCCCATGGAGGGAAACGGGGGGGGTACGAGGGGTAGTCGGACGCGATTTGAGCATCGGCATAGTGTTTATATTTATCAAAAGTTTTTTGCTTTCGATAGAGCTATTGCAATAAAAATGTGTTCCTGTAATCCTGTGAGTCTCCTTCTTTTCCCCGTAATTTTTATGTAACTGTAATGACATTATTGCCACAGTTAAGGCCAGAAATTTCTCATTATTTCCTCATTATTTCACTCCAAAACTAAAATAGAGGCAGATCTGTTAATGTATTGCATAGGGAACACCTGAAGCAAACTGCCTCCTCCTCTGACTATATGGAGAAATGCTTAAAAAAAATAATTAGGAAGAGATATGAGGACCTTAGCAGATCTGGTTCATTTTCCAACACTTGGGGTCAACAATGATTATAGAATGAAATATTAATTCAGCGATTAAATTCTATTTCTCAAACTCCCAGATTCAATCGACCAGATCCGTGTAACAGATGGTATGATGAACCTTAAGCGAAAATTTAATCTGGAAAACTCTTATCTGCTTCACAGAGCCACCTGAGATGTTCTTGTTTATTTCCAGCTGATTGGCTTCTCAAAAGCCAATAATTTTTTAAGATCCTCTATATTTAGTGCATAGTCTAGCTTCTCTTGCATGCATGCTAACTTTCACCCATCTCATTCCCAGTCCCGCTCAGCTACAGGCTCATTCCTCCACCAGTGTCTGGCCCCCCGGGGAAAGGGCTAATCCTTTTCTAGGTTCCTCATCCAAGAAAATGTTCATTCACAGCATCAAAGTCTTCTGCCGGGGCCCGAGTGCCGAAGGTCTTCATAATCTAATAATCTGCAACAGTCTCCTTGAACCCTAGTGACCACTCACACTGAGCCCAGTTCTGCTGGAGCTTTCTTCCTGTTTTCCTCTTCACTGTCGCCACATGCATGCTCAGTGTGAGACAACGATTCCTCAAAATCAGTTGGTTTTCCTTAGAAGTATTTTGAAAAAAGAAAAAAAAAGATTGTCATCAGTATATATATATTGAATATGTTTCTTATTGCTGCTTTTCTCTGAGTCTCTCCAGGTTAAATTTCCATTTATTTTTTCTTTCAAATAGATCAGCATCATGTTTTTCTTGTAGTTCCGCCTTAGAAATTCTGCATCAAGACTCAGCTTACAAGAAGGCAAAACATCCTGTCAAACAGAACATAGGTATGACTTAACTGAGGTCCAGTAGACGGTCAGAAACAACCAACCACAAGGTCCTTAAGGTGCTGCCTAAAGCAGGCAAGATGGTGAAATTAGTCCAACATTGAAATCTGCTGAAAAGCTGCTTAACTAGAAATCGCAAACGAGAGAAATTTGTTAGGCGGCAACAGCCTCACAGATCCACATTATTAAAATGCAGAAAAGTTATTACAAGAATGAATCTTTTCAATTTGCTTGTTTTTTTTTTCAAAGCAGCAAATCCAACCCTGAACAACCAATAAATTAGACATTTTGGAGCTGCCTAGTCAAATTCAAATTTCACTGACCATGCTGTGATAAGACCTCCATCAATGCTTAAAAAAAATCTTTTTCTGTGGCTAAATAAAACTTTTTTGCAAAACGTGAGATAAATAAATCCTTCTCGTTGACCTTAAGCAGCTGTAGCCTCCAAAGGTGGAACAACCAGCTCTGAGGTTTATAGACCCTTTATCCTTTCTGATCCATCAATGGCTTCTTTTCCCTTATTGAGGCCTATTTTTCAATAGATTATCTTTGTTTAATGTTTAAATTGATCCGATTTACAAAACTGAATAGAAGAAAAATAAAAGTATACAGGGCAAAAACCTTTCATGATAATGCACATATGAAATTGTGTTAGAGTAGAATAGAATAGAATAGAATAGAATAAAGGTCAGTAAAGTTAAAGCTAGAATATTGGAGAGAAATTTGAAAAAGGGAAGCTGTAATAATTAGAGGGAATAGAAGTGAATATGTAATGTTAAAAACAAACTCTTACTCTAACTACAGTAAAGTGGCATAGAGGTCAATAAAGCTTGATGCATTATCAAGCAATAATTTATTCCCTCATTAAGATCCTTTTAACAGCTATTTAATTACAGCCCTATTAATGATTGGTCATTAAATGGACAATATGATAACAAAAAACAAGACTGAACGTATGACATACTGTAAATATACGAAGCTGTCTGTGTTGGATCTGAAGCACAGATGGAAATCTAAATTTTCCACATGTACCAAAGGGACACCTGCCTGTCTACAGTGAAGCCCCCAGTTATGTAATGTGGAAAAACACTGGCCCATAGCTGAGCTCAGCCGCCGACCCCTGCACTGTGTGTTTTCTGGTTGCCTTATCTGCTCTCACACAGTTTAAGATACTTTCCAGATCTTTCAGTGTCTTTAAAATTTATTTAAAATGCTAAATATACTGAAACATTTTCAAGCAGAGCTTTGAAATTTGAGGTAAATTTCTTTGACTCCTTTTTTTAAGCTTCAAACTGTATGTTATAGTTTTTAAAGTCGCTTCTGTCCCTCTTGAACATTTTGCTGCTCTTTTTGAAGCTGATGACACTCTGACTGAAAACCATGGTCTGATAACGGATCAATGAATGACGACGTTCACATGCTTACAGAACGCTGTTATGATCACCTGACTGCAGGCTTCTTACTGTCCTCATTCCAAAACAAAGATAACTAAACCATTCATGTGTTTTACTGCAGAGTGAACCCTTGACCCATACAGCCTGTTAAGGAAAACAGCACAAAAACAAGTGAGCATTTCCTCGTTCCTCGGGCATCTTTTTTTTTTTTTTTTTTTAGACAAAGACAAACATCGTTTTATCCGACTCAGGAGACCAACCTCAAATCCAAAAGTCCAACTGGCAAAACAGGCCAAAGTCCTCCGAGTGCTGGTCGACCGGGGAGAGAGTTCTACACACATTTTCACTCGCCCTCTGCTATAGAAGGTCGATACTTGATCTCAACAGGAGTTCAAATCTTTTTTCATTGAAACAAACCAGGGATAATCTCCATATCTATGAGCACAAGCATCTCTAATAACTAAGGATGTAGAAAAAGTCTTGCATTGGGGTATCGGCAAAGGAAGAGCTGCCCCCATATACTCACCAACATCTACAGTGGGCCCATTGATACTGAGTCCTCTGATGGGAAGACGCTCTGAAATACACACCAAGGCTGGTTTTGAAGCAGCTAAAGCAGGTTGACATTAAGCTTATGGAATGATTTCTCCAAAGTTCAAACATTAATTCTATTAGCAGCCTTCAGCATTTAAAATGGCCCTCCCCAGTCAAACGCCAGCC